GGATATAGCCAAAAAAGATATGCAATTGGGATTTTTAAATATAAAAACCGGTGTTTCTTTAACCTGTGACGTTTGGTCCTCCGCCGGTAGTTGTCCCAAAAGCTATCTTTGTGTCACGGCACATTGGATAGATCCCTCTACTTGGGTAATGAACAAACGAGTTATTGCTTTTGAACTTTTTGCGCATCCTCACACGGGGGCAAGATTATTTGCAATTTTAGTAAGCGTTATAGAGACTTATAATTTACGCGACAAAATCTTCTCTATTTCGTTTGACAATGCAAGTAACAATACCGCAGCGGCAAAAAGATTAATTGCAAAATATAAACCTATTTTGGATGGCTCGTTTTTTCATACTAGATGTGTTTGTCACATTATTAATCTTGCGGTACAAGATGGTTTAAAAATGATAGATTCGACGATTGAAAAATTCAAAACTGTGTTAACTAGAGTTTTTGGAAGACATAAAGCTACAATGGAAAAATATCGAAAGTTTGCCATTTCCATTAACGTAACTCCATATAGTCCTCATTGGGATTGTGACACTAGATGGAGTTCAACATGCATGATGTTTGAAAGTTTGACACGTCAAAGAATCGCTTTGCAATTATTTTACGACACAATTTCAAAAGGAAAAAACCCGGTTTCGGATTATGATTGGGATTTGATGGAAGAGTTTGTGGAAATGTTAAAAGTTTTTAAACAATCAACCACTTTTCTATCGGGTGTGTATTACCCTACAAGTCCGTTGTTACTAAATGAATTATGGTTGATGTCCGCACAATTGGAACGTTTTGAACAAAGAAGTGAAATATTTGTTTTGGTTACGAGACCAATGAGACAAAAACTAGTCAAATATTTCAAAGAAATGCCACCACTTTTTACTTGCGCCGCAGCATTAAACCCATGTATCAATGTTACGGGTGTAGAGGCTTTGATTACCAAAATTGCTATGTCTTTAAATTTGCACAAAGATAACTCAAACTACATCCGTAACCAAATAAACATTTTTAATGATACTTTTACTAATTTGTTTGACATTTACGCTACAAAATATGGCAATATGTCAAACACTTTTGCAAGTGTAACCGACTCTACTAGCGGTGCATCGGGTAGTGGTGGGGGTCGAACGGATTTTCATATCGACCTCTATAACTACCTTTTGGAGGAGCAAAACAAAAGAGCACGCACATTAACGCCTAGTAGCGAACTTGGAATTTATATGGGTTCAAACTTTTTAAAATTCATGAGTGCACCACAATTTAAAAATTTGGATCTTTTGGCTTGGTGGAGAGAAAAGGAAGCACAATTTCCTATTCTCTCCGTCATGGCCCGTGATTTACTAACCGTCCAAGCTTCCACGGTAGCTTCGGAATCCGCTTTTTCTTTTAGTGGAAGAGTTTTATCAAAGTTGAGGACGAATCTTACCCCGGTTGCGGTAGAGGTTTGCGTTTGCTTGAAGGATTACTTGGATTCTGTGGAACGTATACAACACTTGGCATCACTAGAAGGCCCACTATCACAAAATGTTGAACCGGAGATCATGGATGAAGAATATGCACAAGGCTTATCAACACCTCCGGAAGACGAAGACGATGACGATGAAGTCGAAGATGAAGACGGGGATGAAGAATATGGCATTGATGAGACCCCTAGTTACATGCGTGGCGGTTGAAGAATAATTAAAGGAAGGCGACACGAAGTGGAAGACCACAAAAACTATTTCCATTTGGCTAGATGTTATAACGCCACTTTATTATTATTATTATTATTTAACTAGTTTAAAAACTCTTTCTAATTCGACGTTTGATGTATGTTTTAACTATTTTAATGTACCCATGTTGCATTTTGTGTTATATTTGAAGTCCAAAAAATGTGTATTTAAAAAAAAAAAAAAAAAAAAAAGAAAATCGGATCGGATTTCGGATCGGATCGGATACGGATCGGATTAAACCGAATCGGATGGGGGGCTCGGAAAACCGGTCAAAACCGGTTTGAAACCGGTTCGGATTTAATGCCGAATCGGATTGGGTGTGTCGTCATCAAACCGGATCGGATTCGGATCCGGATCGGATCGGATCGGATCGGGTCTTTGTGCATGTCTAATCCGATGTTGATCGCACTCAGTATTACGATATAACAATGAACATACTGTTCGCCATGGTGTCGGAGCCCTATTATCTCCTCCATTTCCTCACCTTCTTCTCTTATTTCTCCATCAGATTCTCCACTTCTCAATTATTTTCTCTTGAATTCGCCGGACACCTCCTCCACCGTGTAAGCGATCTCCTTTTCTCAGGCCTCTCTTTATCACTTACACAGGTTTATTAATGTATCGATCTGCAAATATCATTCATTGATTACAGGAACTTCAAGCGCTTCTTCCAATCTCAAACAAGTGAATTAATTTTATATAAATAAACATATATCTTATCAGGGCCATTCAATGCATTTCAATCTTATATTCTAGACCTTTGGATCATTTGCTCACGTCATCTTCCTTCCACCCAATACCCCGTTGTGTAATGTTCCCTTTCGTTCGTCGTTTACTCTGTCTCTTCTTCCTATCTTAAGAAACAGTCAATCCATTCGCTTCTACTTCTTTGTCTAAATCTTGTAGACCGATCACTCTGTTTCGTCCTCCAATGTGGAAGAACTGGAACTTGCAGATACCCAATTCAGGGATTTCGAAGAATAGTGTTCAATCCGTTCAAGCATCTGCGACTTCATTAAGGTAAGTTATCTTCAATTGGTCTGCGAATTTCTCGGAATTTAATTGATTCGAACTCTTTCATTGACATTTTTTGTAATTTTGACATAGATTTTTTAGGGTTCTTTCCAATCCCACCTTTATCAAATTCCAATACTTCAGAAATCTACTACTCTTCCATATACTTGGTTCTAATAATATTCTCTTTCCGTGCTTCTTCTGTGATGTAGGAGGCATATATCATGCCGAAGACAAAAGAAGAAGAAGAGAAAGTAAACCGAGATGTGTGTACTTATACAGACCATGAGCATCATAGGAACATATCTTTGGACAAAAGCCTTAGTGCTTCCTTAGATTCTCTTGATAATCTCTTTTGTCGGCGATGTTTGGTACTTCTGGGTGCTTTTTGGTTACTGTTGGTTAGATTGGGTCAATGGTATGCTCATTTCTGCTTATTTATGTGACAGGTATTTGATTGTCGTCTTCATGGCTACTCTCAGTCTGTTATTATTCCTGTAAGCATTTGTGCTCTCACAACCATTGCACTTTCATGGTGGGTTTACTGCATCCTGCACTTATGTAATGTGCTTTCATTTGCATCTTAAACAGACCGAAAGGCAGTATTGCCCTCTTGAGTCTCAAGAAAATGCAAAACCCTACAGTGACCACTGTTACCTTCAGGTTTACCAACCCAATCTACATTTCACTTTCTTGTACATTTCACTTGTTGTGGCTGTGGATGCTGTCAGAAAAGGTGCAGCTGCATAAGGCATGACAATTAGAGGGTATGTTTGGTGTGGACATGATCCCACATCTTAGTAGGACTGGACCTGCACTTGACCTTTTTAAAGCTAAATTGGAGGTAATGCTAATAATTTGAATACCTTTTTAACTTCACACAAAATGTAATTATCCAAGAAATATACGCATACGTTGTTTTGTCACCTTACATTTTTTTTAAAATTTTGTTTGTTATATGTAACTAATTTTTAATAGTACTTAACCTACCAAATGATACATTTGAACGCTAAACAAAATAATAGTAGTTTTGGTTTTAAGTTTACTTAACCCGTTTCATCCAATCTCAAACAAGTGAATTAATTTTATATAAATAAACATATATCTTATCGTGTTGTTGTTTTTTTTGGAAAGAAGGGTCTTTCCTAACCAAAGTCTCAATGTCACCATGATAGTACTATTCGTTGTCGCAACACCGATCAATAATAGTATGAGTGTTCCTTTAAATAAAATATGTTTTTCTTTCTGAATTATTTGTCGAAAGCAATTCAAAGAGATGTTTATAAGGTGATGACAGTTTCTTACCATAAAGAAGGGCAGGAGGCTACAACCTCAACTTGTATGATGTAATTAATTAACTATGCCTCTTTCTAAAATGTTTTCAAAGAGGTGTTCGTATGGTAATTATTATATAGTACATGATAGTATGATTTTGTTATATAATTTCCTTATACTACAACCTTTTCAAATTTATAGTTTTTTATATGGTAAAAATATTATCTTAAATATGGTATATATTTATTATATTTTTTCCTTATTCTACAAACTTTTCAAATTTACAGTTTTTTATATAGTAATTATTCTATTTTAAATGATACTATGATTTTATCTATTTGTCTACTTATATTTGAGATGGTATACTGATATTATTTAGGATATCATACCGTATATAAAACATCTTTTAAGTATGGACATGATATTACATTCCATAATCTTTATTTCATATCAGCATTAACCAAATATATATTTTCTATATTTTCTAAATATATTAAACATCTTATATTGAGTTTATTTTCGATATCATACCATATTTATGAAAATATTGTATATTTATTATATAATTTCCTTATTCTTCAAACTTTTCAAATTTACAGTTTTTTATATGGTAAATATTATCTTAAATATGGTATGAATTTATTATTTTTATATTTATATTTGACATGATATACTGATATCATTTTGGATATCATACCATAATTAAAACATATCTTAAGTATGGAAGTGATATTACATTCTAAAATGTTTATGTGATATCAGCATTAACCAATTTTTTTCCCTATAAATATACTGTCTACGATTTTTCATTACAAATCAAAATTCTCTCTAAACAATTATCCCCTTCCATTGCAGATAATAGTATTCCATGGCATCTAACAATGCAGATCAGGTCGTCTTTGATAAGGTTGCTGAAATCAACGCATCTAAAGAGTCTTGGAACATACGTGTTAAAGTCGTCATGCTTTGGAAGCCGACCTATGTAAACAATCCTAATATGGTCACAAGCCTGGACATGATTTTAATCGACCAGGAGGTACTGTTTTTACACCATTTGTTTTTTAAAATTATCAATTTCTTATGTTATCTCTATTCAAAAAAAGTTGAAATTCGAGAGATGTTATACTTTTTTACTTCTATTCATACAATTTTAATAAACAACTTTATTATTTTTAATAATAAAGTTTAGTCTATGTAATGAAATCTGTTATTGTCCGTTTTTTAATACATTTTTTGCACTTTTTTATCTTTCATTGTCACCTACAGGGAAGTAGAATTCAAGCTACAATAAAAAAAAATCTTATTCCAGTATTTGAATCCCTATTCGATGAAGGAGCTGTCCGGGAGATCAGTAACTTCGCTATGGCTAGCAATCAAAGCGAATACATGCTTTACCTCATAAACATAAAATCAATTTCTACAAAACCACGAAAGTTCGTGTATCCAATGATTTTGTTGATACAGTAGATCCTTATCATTTTATCTCTTTCCCAGATTTGCTAGCCAGGAACTTTGACACTCGTGTTGCATTTGGTATGTTATGTTGTTAGTTTAACTTATTTCTATACTTCAATTTTTAATGTAATACACATTTGGGTTATTATTACTAATTTATTAAATTTTTTCACATAGATTTTCTAGGTGAAGTTGTGTCAAGTGATCCCATGCGAGTCATTGTTGAGTATGGAAGAGAGAAAAGGTTAATGAATCTGGTTGCTCAGGATTTAAGGTACACATTCGTATTATTATTACACATTCCCCCGTTTATATTTATCTTTCATTAATAACCACCATGCATATTTAGTGGTACGAGAATTGCAGTCGCTTTGTGGGGAGTTTTGCAATGAAGTTGAATACTTACATTTCACAACATAATAATGACACTGCTCCTGTTATTATCCTGCTACGTTTGGCCAAACTCAAAATTTGGGGTGGTAAGTGTTTTTTACAACAAATTATCATTTCAACTTCAAAGTAATTACTGACAATATTAATTTTCTTTTTTCTTGCAGGTCAGCCTCAAGTTGGTAATTGTTTGTTTGGGTCTAGATTGCATATAAATGATGATATGCCTCAGATTTTGGAGTTCAAATCAAAGTATGTTATTTAACATTTTTAACACATTTATCTTACTAAATCATTACTTTTGTTGAATAACTTCACTATTTGTTTATGTAGAATTAATGCTTTGGATACAAATGTTGAGTCTTCTAGCCGTACATCCCAGCTCAACTCAGATACCGTTGTGGCTAATCCAGAGGATTACTACCTCCGTTTTCAGATAAAAAACATTGATGAAATTCCTGATTTTAATGAGGTTTACTTAACATTTTTATATAACAGTTTCCGCATTCTATTATTGTTTTGATTTTATATCTACAATTTATATGAAATAATATTTTAATATGATTCCTTTTTTCTCCTATATATGAAACAGGAAGTTGGTTTAACCATTATCGCTACTATTATTGGTTTTGATATGGATGATGGTTGGTATTCATTTTATTGTCGTGATTGTTCTAAAAAGGTTACTAAAAATCATGATGATGTTGATGTTGGCCCTTTTCACTGTGATGGTTGTGGATTTGTCTCGGATGTATTTGGAAAGTAAGTAATTATTATCTCGAAGACTATGCATGTATTTTACAATTTTCATATATTTCATTGTGTATGTCAAGCTAAATATAAGTACTATGTTATAATTTTTAGGATTAGGATAGTAGTTCGTGTGCAAGATGAAAGTGGCTCTTCTTCGTTTGTATTGTTTGAGCGTCATGTAAAAGATCTTATTCATCGTGGAAACCAATGGTTGATGGACAAAATAGCTAAGGTTTCATAAAATATCTCCGTTATTTAAATGATTGACATATATGATTTTTATTCTTTAACTTTTCCAAACATTTTATAATGTAAATTAGGATCAAGGCCGACAACAGATACCTGATGAGTTCAAAATTCTTCTAAATAAGAAGTTTGTCTTCAAAGTTCAGATTCCATGTTCAATCTGCAGAACAACTATCGTGCTTACATTGTGCATAAGTTAACCGATGATGAAAGGGTTCTTGACGAGGTGACAAAAAGGTCATCAAATCATCAACATGATCATATAAATGATAATGGTACTCCTGTTAACAAGCCAAATAAGGTTGGTAACTGTCTCATATATTTCCAAAGTCAACATGATCATATACACTGCAACAAACTTTGCTTTGGTAGTTATCAGTTCGAACCCGTTACATTTCAAGGTCATTCGATTGTCATACACAAAGCCATCGTAAGAGTTTATATGTAGTACATTTTATGTTATTAATTTACTTTATGATTTACTTATATGCTATTTTATTTGTAGTGATATGCTTACGGAAAAAGTGGACTATGATTACTACAACATAGAATTGTTTTCATCTACTACGTGGCAATGGAGGGAGTTTCAAAATATCCAGTTACCATCATCTGTTTATCCTGTCTCTGATGAGGCTGTTACAAGTGGCGGTGCCTTATACTTCTTATTATCTAATGATAGCATACTGCGATTTGATATTTATTCAGAAGAACATATACTCATATTTTCACCTTCTACTATTAATGAATTAAAACCATATGCATCGAGATTAATCAACTTTCAGGGAAAATTAGGATATCTCTCTATAAGTGGAGATACTTCGTGGGCTATTTGGATTTTCATTCACAATCGGTGGGTTAAAGTAGATGATAGTACTTACAATGAAAGTGCACATGAATGGTGGAATTATAGAAACAATACCCTATATTTCTTTAGAGGAAATACAATTGAGTATGAGGTTCCGGCACATCATTCTCAACAAGTTTTTTCAATCCGTTCTGATTTTGATACAGTGACTATGCCAGGTCGATATTACTGATTATATATATTTTAATTTGCATTCGAACATAGTTGTTTTTATTGTAATGAACTATTTTAAGATTTTATATTATTCTATGATTTATTACTTTTTTTTTATTTATTGTTTTAATTGTTATGAAATTAAAATAGCTATTATAATGTATGTTAATAAATTTAAAATAGCTATGGTAAACTACTTTTAATTGTCATGCTTCCTATGATGTAATATAAGTTTACAATTCAATGTTTTTAAATATGTTCCCGCGTTTAACGCGGGTTTTAATCTAGTTTATTTTAATACAAAACATTCATGTATTGAATTTATGTATTGAATGCAAAATCAATGACAAAACAATGGTAAAAAGGTCCAAAAACGACCGTCCTGTGGCGATGCCCGGGCTTATCTCCTAGTCTACATTTAAAACACACGTTCAAATCTACCCTTTAAGATTCCACTAAACAAAAGACTTTTGTAGCATCTCTTTTGGATCAAGCAAAAATATTTTTAAAAGAGTGTCGTTTTTGTATATCCATTTGATTTGACTTAAATACAAAATTAACCCAATTTGATTTTTGTTTGCTATTTTTTGTTTTTTAATTTTTTTTTTTGGCTTTTGTGTTTCGATGATATTAATATTATTATTGTTGTTGGTATTATTATTATTATGGTTGTTTTCGTCGTCATCGTTGTTATACTTATTATTATACTTTTAATTAATTATTTTAATTATTTGTGTTTTAGAAATACATTCTATACATAGTTATATCTGTATTTTTACGAAGAATGGTTACCTATGTATTTTTCAATAAAAAGAATTACGGCTATCCATGTGTATCGTTCTGATTATCCCTATTTTTTTTCGTTCGTAATATACATGTTTATTTTTTCGTTCTTTCTTTCGTACTATTATTGGTTTGTTTTTTTGTTCGGACTAACTCTGTGTTATTTTTTCGATTGGATTAGCCATATGTTATCTTTTTCGTTCGGAATATCCGTACCTTATTTTTTCTTTCGGACCATCTGTGTCTTTCTGGTCTCGACTATCACTCTATTATTTATTTTTTTCGTTCCGACTATCTTGTGTTATTTTTTTTTGTCCTGACTAACCATGTACTATTTTTCATTCAGAATAACAATTTTTTTTGATAAATTTTTTCACACAATTACATATATGTTTATGTGTTAGTTTTATTTCATGGCTACGAAAAATACAACAAACTAGTAACATCACATGGTTTAAACAAAAAATAATATAATGATTTTCCGAATGAAACAAAAAATAACACATGGATATTCTGAATAAACAATAGCATATTGATAGTCCAGATAGTTGGAACGAAAAAAACATCACAATGACACTCCAAACAAAAAAAAATAGCACATGGATTGTCCGAATAGAAAAAAATAATACAATGATAGTTGAAGGAAAAAATATAAAATATCGATAGTCTAAACAAAAATATAGAGAGATAGTATGAACGAAAAAATAACACAGACAGAGTCCGAACGAAAAAAATAACATATGGATAGTTCGAACGAAAAAATAACCAATGGATAGTCCAAATGAATAAAAAATAACACATGAATCGTCAGAACAAAAAACTAACACAAAGATAGTTTGAACATAAAAAGAGCACATAGATAGTCTGAATTAAAAATAACATAAGGATAGCGGAAACAACAAAAAAAACACATGGATAGTCGAAACAAAAAACTAATGCCGAGTGGTTTTTCTAGACCACCATTCGGGACATGGTCCATGGTTGTGAGGACAGGAATGATGTGGGCATGGTGATGGCGCTCGATCAAATATGAGGTTTGGTTGGGAAGTTTCTAGTGATGGGGAACAACGATAAAGTAACACTCTCAAATGACAATGCAAGTACTTCTATGTGCAATTTCAGAGTAGCGAGCACATCATGTCGGGAGCAATGTTACGGTGAGAGTCACGCATCACTTATTGTATTAGGTCGAGCCAGTCACGTTAGTAGTGAATGTGATTTCACCTCTTGGGTTAATGATGGATCTGGAAGGGGTTGCGTCGATCACGTTAGTTGTGAATAGGGCCTCTACCATTTGGGTTAGTCATGGACATAGAGACCATCCTAGTGAAGATCAATATTTATAAAATACTTTTGTGAAGAATAGTAAATAATAATTACAAAGGTGAATAGAGATAGGTAATTATTACTATAAACATATAACAATAATGGCTTTATGATATATGTGATGTTATGCAATGTGTGTGATTGAATGCATACTATGTAATGACTGTTTGACCTATTATGGGGTATGAGTGTTCATTAACACTGTACTATGCTTGAATCACTTAGCATATGTTGAAACTTGTTTCTTTGCTTGTTGCTTTTGTCTTGACCTATTCATGTTTTGATATTCCTATAGGGACTCATACCATTTTGGAAATGTCCTTGATTTTTTCATTTATCGTTGATTTTTGTGAACTTTAATTTTGATGGAGGTTGTTTTTGATAATATAGTAACATTGGTGATGTTTTCAAAATATTTATTAATTAAGACTTCCACTGACGTTTTCCATTAACTGTATTATAAAAACTAAAAAAATTTAAGGTGGAAAATGATGATGTTACAAGTTGGTGTTGGAGCCATGATGTGAGTAAACTAAATATAGAGGCTTGTATTCAGAGTCACAGTGTAAAATGGCTTAATTAGGTGCTTTAGAATCTTAGGGTGTGTGTGTGGGGGGGGGGGGGGGGGGAGGTGTGATGTGAGTTTTAGGATAGTTTCCTAAATTATATAAGAATCTTCCTTCATTATGTTGTAATTTGAATAAATTTTTATATATTTAGGAAACTATCTGCAATACATGTAAAAAACTATTCAAGAAGAGAAAACATCAACCATAATGAGTGTGAGGCATTGTTCCCTTTCATTTTTCCAAACCCTGATGATTGATCGTCAGTCGTGGATGCATTATGAAGCTATTTAGGAACTAGATCTGAGGTTATGGGCCTTGGTCTGTTGAGATTAAATGGTTAATGAAAAATTTGGCCCTCTGACTAAAAGTTATGCCCTAACGTAGACGTGTGATGAAATGACGGTCCCTAAAATCACGATTGTTTTATCGTTTCATAATGAAGACATGACCAAGGAATGATCACGATGTGACATTGACTTTGACTAAGCTGACCATTGACCTTGTGGAATTTGATCGTCGACTTTTTGACCAGTTTGGCATTGGTTCAAACTTGGTTAGGATTGAGTATTTGACAACTGATTTGCAACGACCCGTCTATGGTATGTTGTTTTTATATTATTTATTTAGAAGTTTGCAGAGGGACTCAGCGAGTCTATTGCCCGACTCGTCGAGTAGAGATGGGATCTTGAGCAGCGTATAGATCGACAATTCGGCGAGTCCATATTCGGGACTCGGCAAGTCCGCCTGCCAGGTAGAAACCCTAAATCCCCGGGTTTGCACCCTATTTAAACCATCATATGAGCCCCAAACTCGTCTCCTTCACCCTCAGAGCATCATTTAGCAAACCCTAACCATTCCCTTGTGTATTTGAGCATTTCTTGTGTGAATCTTGAAGTTTTGAAGAGAAGAAGGAGGCTAGATCCAAATGAGAAGAAGAAGATCCAAGGTCTTGCACCCATTTCAGAGTTTATTGAGGTAATAATCGGATTCCTTCTGTTTCTATGATTGATTCTCTTTCATAAGCATATTTAGCCCAATTTATCCATTCCTTAGCTTGTTCATAGTAGAGAGATTACATTAGATTGATTAGCCTTTGGATCTTGCCATGTTTCAGTTCCAAAAACGTAGATCTATCACCTTTATGGAACCATTTTGCATGATAGCCCTCGATGTACTCTTCAAAGTGCCTTTTTAGCCTTTATATCCTTTTTCATGCATATGCACACGTAAAGTAACTTTACGTGGTAAACCAGCCTTAGAAACTCAGATCTATAAATTGTATGCAGTGGTTTTGAACAGAATCGAGTTTTTAGTAACTGCATGCATGTGACTCGACGAGTCGTTCTTCGGACTCGACGAGTCGAGTCGCGAGTCCCCGATCTTTCCCCTTTGAGTGATTTCGAGTGGGGCCAGTGAGTAGTAGAATGGACTCAGTGAGTCGGAGGTTAGACTCAGTAATGGAGGGACTCAACGAGTTGTTCATACAACTCGGCGAGTCTAAGACAATCTTCTTAGATTCAAGAACAACTCGTCGAGTTGTTCATACAACTCGGCGAATCGGATGCAGATGTCCTGAGTTTTAGAAGCGAATGGGAACTCGTCGAGTTTATGCCATACTCGAAGAGTAGCAGCAAGCAGGATTGAGAAATGAGAGTAGGGACTCGGCGAGTTGGCGGCCCAACTCGGCGAGTCAGGTCAACTGTAAGTTGACTTTGACCAGGAGAGATGACTTTAGCCAGGGGTAAAAGAGTCATTTTACCCCAATGCAGTAATTATTGGATTAATGTCTAAGTCCATAACTATAATTGGTAAGACTTGACCCGACCCGGCATGGTCCATTTGGGTTGCATACCATCATGCACTTGGATAGATTAAACGAGAGAAATAAGACACTTATGGTTATTAATATATTATAAGTTCTAGTATATTAATAATAAGAATAATGAGATTATTTAATTAGTATTGATCAAGAATTAATCTAGCATTAATTGAGTTATCAAAAGAAGACTAATTAAATATGTGGGTTGATTGTGTAAATCATCCATACTTGTATAGTGGGCTAATGCTCCATGGATTATCTAGTTAGGCCAAAACCCATATGATGCTCCATGGATGCTCCATGGTGTATTTGAACCCATGGATCCAAGGAAATGGAAAGTCATGACAATTAGGGTTTACCCTAATTGTATAACTATATAAGCATCTTATTCTTGAGGAAAATCGGCCACTAGTATTAGTAAGAAAGGGCTAGCCGATTTTCATGAAGTGTAGAATTCTCTCTAAGTTATTCTAAGTGTTTTGATGATTGTGAACCATTTGAGGTGTCACACTTGGGGCACTA